ACTAGAAACAAAACTGTCATTCTGATCCCCTAATCTGGTCCCCTAGTGATCAATGTGCCCAATTTCTCTACTGTTTAGAATCTAGAAACAAGAAAAAGCCTCAGACTTTTGTCAATTTTAATAGACATTTATTTCTTATTTGAGGCAAAAAGGATAAAAAAGCTGTTTAGTTACTAGGAGAAATCTAACAGTCAGGATGGGAAAAAATAGACTAATTTGAGGTTAAGGAACAAAATTATGTGACAACAGATGGAAGACAACAAGACAGGCATGGAAGAAGCAGAAACTGGTGCTCAAGCATGGTTTTGTTCATGAAAACATCAGGAGAATACAAAAGACTTGGTCTAATGGTAACCTCATTTGCTTTTCATTTTAGTGGAAAATGAGTTGCTACTCTGCATTAAACATGTAAAAAGAGTTTTATGTATGGGCTGGGCATCTCCTTAGAAAACAAGATCCCCCCCCCCCCACACACACACACACACAAGCAGGGGAGGGGCAAAAGAAGGAAAAAGAGAATCTGAAGTAGGCTCCACACCCAGCACAAGCTCAATGAGGCCTCAATCTCACAACCATAAGATAATGACCTGAGTGAAAACCAAGTGTCAGACACTTAACGGATTGAGCCACCCTGGCACGCCAAGATTTTTTTAATATAAGGCTGTACAGAGGGAGTTAAAACTGAAAAGATGAGCATTCCTATCTGAGGAAGCAAGTTGACTTTAGAATTTATAGGCAGACTAGTCAAATTTACAGAAATAGACAGCACAGAACTCTTGGTTAAAAACAGGTTTGGTGTACTCTGGAAAAGTGATACCTGTTTTCCAATCTCAAATTTCACTGTCATTTCTTCTTGTTACAATTTTAGCCTTGAACCTTTATATCTTCAATAATTTTTGTTAAATACCACACAGAAAACCACTTAACTGAGCCCTAATGATTTCAAATGCGACACTGTATTAGAAAGTTATCACACTCCAGAGTCTAGAACCTGAATAGACTTGTAGTTCTGTTGAAAATCTTGTGTAGCAATATTTTCCAAATTCTACCATAAGGGGCAGCATAGCACATGGAAAGAAAGGTGTGGGGTTTTTTTGTTTGTTTGTTTGTTTGTTTGTTTTGTTTTGTTAAATTAGGCAGATGTGGATTAAAATCTCTGGTCACTTACAGTGTCATTTTTGGTCTCTCTGTAACTTCTACTTACTTATCTATCACAGGAACTTGCAAACAGTATACGGGCTTAATAAATACCAGTTCTTGACTGCCCTTACACTTGACTTTTAACATTAAGATGGTCTGAAATTTCTAATGTACATTATTACGTAGGTTCCCATATGAACAAATCTTTGGTGACTAGGGGGGAAAAAAGACTGTCCTATGAGTTTTGATAGTTTCAGTATGTTTTCAAAGAAAAGACCAAGGCAAGGAAAGACCAAAAGTGGATTTTCTCATTAATATATTTGCATATACAGCATGTTCAGGAATGATTGAATAAGTAAGTATAGCTGGCGCCAGGGTATATTTAAGAAACTGCACCCCCCCCCCCAAAAACAAACAAACACGTGAAAGATATGTTGGATAAAACTGTAAAGTAAAAGGCTAATCCCATTTTAACATTAAAAGGGGGGGGGGTTAAAAATGATTCTTATACCACTACTCTTCTTAAAAGTCACAGTTTAAAAAGACTTAAAAGAAACTGTGGCCAAGGGTAAAGTCTGTTGAAGTGTTTTATGTTTAGAATGATCAAAATTTAAAGCTGCTCCAAAATAAAAATATGATAAAACCTTGGTTTGGGAGCATAATTCATTCCGGAAACATGCTTGTAATCAAAGCACTAGGAAGTATATCAAAGCGAGTTGTGATCATGTGACGTTTGGCATCACATGGTACTCGTATTGCAAGACACTGCTCGTTTATCAAGTTAAAATGTATTAGAAATGTTTGCCGGTCTTGCGGAACACTCACAAAACAAGTTACTCGCAATCTACAGTTCTATATTTGAAATAATGAGAGCCTTTCCTTACTTACTATATTAAGATTTATTATATACATGAGTGACCGACATTTTCTTCTTAAGCAATGAAGTAACAGGTGACATCTGTAAAGTATTGGTGAGAAAATAAAGCACTCTGGGAATGATCCTAAAGAAGAGTTTCAAGAATAGAAAAAAGGAAAATGGGCCAAATGAAGCTCAAAATACCTCACTGTAGAAGGGCACTGCTGCCTTGGCAGTCAAATAGTTTATATTCTTCTTGCCATATTTGTGAAGGAAAATGACCTCAAAATAAACAACATATCAAAAGTATGTACACAGCATACCTATACAGACACACACACACACAGACACTCATGCACATATACACATCTATCCCTGCAGTTGCTAGTACTCAGTCCACTCCTGTGGCCTTGTGTGGACTGCACAATATCTTGCATTTCATGACCTGAGAGACACTAGGAAAAAACTGCCTTAAAATTGTTACTTTGTTTTTAAGGAGGTAACAATATAACTACATAAAATACACCTAAAAGTTCTGTTTACAGTTTCATCTTGAAGGGAAAAAAAAGATAAAGCATCTGTCAAACCTGTGTACTGGTAGTTTTCCTACAGAACAATCTAATGACTTCTCCTTTTGGAAAACTATATGTTTTGTCTAGCTGGCTTTCTTGTCTTTAAAATATAGCAGAACTCACTGATAGCTTTGCATTGTTCAACAATGCTTAGTTTCAATTAAACTTCTTTCTTAAACAAGATTATGCAGTAAAATATTAAGCCCCGTTCTTCCACTTGAATCCTCAAGAAAAAGAGAGGTAGAAACCCCCTCTTTTAATGTAGTAACCTTGAAGGGGAGAGATCAAGAGATCTGGGGTACAGAAGCTGGGTGGACTGCATTGTAAAAGGTCTTAGCCTTACCAACAAAGCAGGCTGTAGCTATTAGGGGTAGAGATTCAAAACACTTTAACACCTTGAGACAGAGATGGCAGAATGGATATAAATCACTACTGAAGTCAGCCCCTTCTCAAACCAACTAAATAAAATCTAAACTTGCAGACAGGCTAGGTAAATTAGGGATAAACATGTTTTAGAAGGAGTTTAAAGTTTCACAACCTTAAGCAAAAATGATACAGCAATTCAAGTATTAAACCTAGTTCCTGAGACATTTTATTCCAGGTCAAGTTACATTAAGGGAGACGATGTTACATCTGTTTGTATATTTTTTATGGGCTAAATCACTGATTCACTATAAAATTTTAAAATAAGCAAATAAGAACAAGAGGATAGACTACTATGGGCATTATTCATTTTAATGTCTGTAAAGTAAGTAAGCTATCATTTGAATGAAAATATTCCATACCAAAGAACTGTTTAACTTATAAGTCTATTCTACATGGACACTCATGATTTTTATCTAATTTTCAAATGATAAATAAAGAACCAAACAGCATGCAAACATAAAGATTTATGAGCATAGAAGCCGGGTGGGGGGGGGGGGGGTTGTGTTACATAACTCATTGATTCTGAATATAATTCTTTTCACTTTCTCTCCTCTTTAAATTTAGACCATAGATAGCAACACTGCCTAAAATATTGATTAAATCCTAAGTCCAGCAAAAAGTACCTGACGTCTTATTGAATTTCCTGTAATTTCAACAGCACCAAAATACAGAGAAAATAAAATTCAATGAGGAGGAGAAGTCAGCACTTACTTGACTTAGGAGCTAGTCAACAAGACCAAGTATGTAAAGAAAACTCCTATTTACAACTTTGATTATCATTTTCTAGGGTTAGTGTGTATGTGTGTTCATATTCATTACAACTTAAAAATGTTTCGATTATAGAATATTTTAAACATACTTTGAAAACCACACAGAAGAATACTCATGAGCCACCCCACCCTAATCTCTGTAACCTGGCCTCAACAATCAGCAACTCATGACCAATCTATACTGTCTCCTTTTCTCCCCTTCAGTATTATTTTGAGGTAAAGCCCAGGCACTATATCATTTCATTTTTACTATATTCGATTGGGAGGGAAGGGGAGAGACTACAACAGAAAGATTGGGGAGTGAGAGAAATAATGCTGCTTCTTTTCTTCTACAATCCCCACCCTTTGTCATAACCACAATTTTAAGGAGTAGCCGGGAGTATTTTGAGGAAAGAAGCCCACATGCCATCCCAAACAAGCACCGGCAATTCCAAATTTACTGCAACTGCCCAATCACTTCCTCCTTCCATCTCAGTCGACTTCAATGTTTCAGGACCTCCCTGCCTATCTAGTAGCAAAGATGACAGACAGTATGACTGACTGGTATACTTCAGTCCTTAATTTCTGGCATAGCCACAAAGGACTGCATCCAATGGAAATGTTGTTCTAGCACTAGATTAATCAACAAGTCCCAGAGTTGATAAGATTTCTCTGGTTTAGACAGAAGTCTGCCTACCTTTTGAAACAAGACTATGGCTAACTCCATGGGCTACTACTAGCTGAATGAGATAAGAAGGCACATACAACAGAGCTGTCTTCTAGGAATGGGAAGGAAAACAAAAACTGCAGATAAGGGAAGTGGTGGCAGAAACTTGACAATAACTTGTGCCTTGGAGTGGCACCTGTGAATACACAGCCCACCCCAGCAGCTGCATTTTGTAAATAAGAAAAGTTTCTTTACGATTTGATTTACACAAATCGTGTTTCACTGCAACACTCTCCGCTGCAAACAAACTACTAACACCCGTCCTAGGGATAAAATTTATGGTAAAATTTGATATTAATGATTTTTCATAGTAATAGGATCAATTACCCTTCCCTCCATTTGTAATAAGATTGTGCCATTATCAGTACTTCTGTTTCTAATACTTTCTGTAAAACAAAAATTAGTTCATTTTATTACTACACATCTGATGATGAATTTTGTGGTAATAACAAAGAGCGTGAGGACAGTTTCATTACAATGAATGTGCACAGGTAAACGTCTCAGGGGAACAGTGAACTAAATATACTCACTTTTGTTGTCTTTGTATAGAACGGGGAGGAGAGTTGGTGAATAGGCAGGTCCACGATACTAGTGGAGTTTGTGACACTGTTACTATGTGTATGTTCATCTTCCCTGCTACTGTCATCAGACTGATCAAAATCATCACTCTCCTGGTCCATTTCCTCTTCCTCTTCATCCTCCTCATCTTGCTCACCAGCATGTTCTCCGTCTTCTTCTTGTTCTTCCTGATTTCCTGAGGAGTCCTCATCTACCGAAATGAATCGATTGTTGTTTTCTTCCAACCGTCCTTGCTGGGAGTCGTTCTGGTCTCCAAGCCTAGGTTCTGCTCGGATGACTTCACCATTCCTTGCGGTGTGCTCCTCCTCTTGTTGTCGGAGCTGCTGCTGCTGCTGCTGGTGCTGTTCCTCCTCTACCACGCGGTTCATCTGCTCCTCATCTGCCTGGCTTGAGGAAGGGTTACCTCTCAGAGAGCCTCCAGTTCGTCGTCTTTTGCTGCCCACAGAGAGCAGTTCCTGATTCATTTCCAAAAGCCAGCTTGCTACTTCTTGGACCTTGGCTAGACTATCAGAAGATGCAAAGGATTTCACATTCTGTAGGGAAAAATGGGGGTGGGGGGGAGAAAAAGGTTTGTTCAATCTATATTATCTTCCACTTTTATGTCCTAGGTCTATATTCCAAATTTCATTAAAGATTATAAAGTATCTGATGCCATGGAGACATTAAGATGTTCTTTAGAAATCAATAAAGTTTAAAATGTAGAAATTACGACACTTTACAAAGACAGACACAAAAATCACATAGTAAACAGCTTTATTTTAATCTTTTAAACAATTTTAGAATGAAGCCTGATAATTTAGTTGCTTTGACCAACAAAACATAATTTAACCAATAAAATCATTTTCAATTTTAAATCAGTTCATAAATGATATCTTTTGTAAAGCTTCCAGAAGTTTTTATAAAATACTTGATGCCAGAAGGAAAAAAAAAAAAAAAAAAACCATTCAATGCTCAGTTAAGTTCAGGAAATGCTGAGGTAAACCAAGATAAAAAGGCCTTCTTACCTTTGGAATTTCCCAAACTTCTCTGATCATAGAACCTTGCCTTAAGACATAGTTTTCCGACAGGCAGCAAGTATAATTCATTATGATTTTCATTGTTGACAATGATATAAATTGAATGGACAGTAAATAAACAAAAAGTTTTACTTTTATTTTTTAAAAAAGGAAAAAAAGTTCATAAGTTCATACCCTCTGACCCAGTAACTCCACTTCTGGCAATCTATCCTAAGGAAGTAATCCTAAAACAGAAAAAAAAATTATGCAAAGGATGCTCACTGCAGCTTTATCCACAAAAGCAAAAAATAAAAATAAATGTAAATAAAAATAATCAAAACCCAAACGTTCAAGAAAAGGAATCCATGAGATGGGGTACATATAGTGCAATTCCTAAACACGATGTTCATTTTTAAAAATTTGAGGGCATGGATGTTTACATTATGCTAAGGGAAATTACATGATCACAACATGATTTTTAAACTGCATAAATACAAGATTTCAAAATACAAACTGCTTTTGGGCAGTGGTATTGTAAGCACCTAAAACTTATTTTTTAACTACATTTTCAAATGCTATATATCAGACACATTTGCTTTTATAAAAGTTTTATAGACTGACACTAAAATTTGATCTGATATAAAATCTTTTCATAATGGTCATTCCTAAATTTCACCCTTTGCAGATACCTATATGGACGTGTTTGAGGTCATATAAAATAATGCCAATTCACTGCCCAAGTTCATATAAAACTCCTTTTAAAAATATCTTTATAGGTTTATGAGATAAAACAAATACAACATACATCTTCTATCATGTCCTAAGAATAACTACATTATATCACAATGGTCTTTATTAAAACAGCCGTATCTACTTTTCGATCCCTTGCCACTAGATGGTAAATCTCCCAAAGTGCCTCAGTTCTCACTGCAAGTTTTGAAATGGGGTTTGAAAGTCTGAAAGATAGCTTTAAAATAGCAATATTTCATTTTACTTTCTATAATCTACACTTGCTAAGAAATAAGCTGTAGTGTGGGGGGAAAATTCTTTAATTCTAATTACAACTAGAAGTTTAAGTATAGAAAGAGAAGAGTTCCAACGACTGTGCTATGAGACACTCCAACATTCAAAGAGAAGACTAACCAACAAAGGTAACTAACAAGGAGGACTGGGAATGGGTGGTATCTTCGAAACATTCAGGTAAAGAAAGTATACCCCGAAGGACAAAGTATAAAATGACAACTGTTGATGATAGATCAAGTAGGATGAACAGAAAGAATTGACCATTGGATTCAGTAACATGGAAGTCACTAGTAATAGGAATTTGTTAGTTGAACTCTGATTAAAGTAGATTTAAGAGAGTAGGAAAAGAGAACAGAGATGGTAGGTACAAACAAGTTAGGAGTTTGCTGCAAAAAAGAACAAAAGGAAGTGGTAACTGGTAGGGAAAACAGAATTAAAAGAAAATTTTTTATTCTTCAAGACTGGAGACCTAGCAGTGTAGTGTATCTGTATATTAACAAGAGTGATCTGGTACAAAACAAAAAGTTTGAAACGTAATCAAGAAAGAGAAGAAATTGTGGTGTTCTTCTTAATTAATTAAAAGGGGATGATGGGAAAGAATTCAAAAATGGAGGACTAGTTTTAGTTAAAAAAAAATGGAAACTTTATGGCAAAAGATAGAAAAGAAGTGTGGTATCACAGGTACTTTAAATTTATTTCTTTTTACCATATTTTTCAATGTGGAAACAGCTGGAAATAGGTGGGTTTTTACAGAGGTAGAAGTCTTTGGAAATTCTCTACTCATTCCTTCAACTGTTTTCCTTCTTCTTTCTAAAGTAGGAAGCAATGTCATCATTGTCATCATCATCAGAGTGATCTTGGGAGAAGAGTGTTAGAAATTTGAAGAAAGAAGTATGAAATAGTCCTTTAGGGAGAGAGAAGGAAACTTTCCTAGGTGCATGAGATTTCGATGATCAAATATAATCAATAAGCTATGATGTAATACATACTAAATATGCCTTTAAAAAGTCAAGTGGTTCTTATTTACAACTCAGACAAGAACAACAACAAAATTTCTATTTGAGGTGGAAAGTAGGTCTTAGGAAAAGCACATTAAATAACATATCTGTTGTTTTCTACAAAAAATTAAAATTAAAAAAACTACAGAAAATAAAGGTCATCAAAGTCTTATTGGCTAGTATATGTAGAAGACAAACTATAAAAACATTAGAGAAAGGCAGGTTAAAAATAACACACTGAAAAACACTGACCTACACAAATGAATATATATAGTATCCTAATGTATATAAGGTAAATCTACTATTCATAGGTTTCCTTCAAACAATCAAAATCTTGCTTTCATAACTGTATCTAAAGTCAGCTCTCCTAACATTAACAGAACATTTTTCACTTGGATGTTTATGCATAGAACAGCACGATAACAGGGTCAGTACCTTGGGATAATGCAAACCCCAACCAACTGCCCTTTGTGTGTCCAACCTAACAGGCAAATTTTTAAGAGACTGAAACAGGTTAAATGCCATATTGAAAGCAATTCATAAAGTGCAAAAGGTGAAAGAACAAAGGTCATAAAGCTAATCATAAAGAATATGTGAAAAGTAGGGAGGAGACTGTTGGTAAGCAGTCAGCCTATCAACAAATAGAAAGTGTATGACTGGCATTTCTAAAATAGTACTAGTACTGGTCAATGGTGAACACTTCTGTTGCCAATTATGAAAACAAAAATTCAAATCACTATCATTCTGTAACTTTAGTGTTATATTGGGAAGAACAGAGAATAAAGTATCTTAATTTAAGCCAATAAAGTTAACTGACTCATATTTACAACCATGGCATAGAGATAGCTTTCAAAATAATACAGATTCTTACAAACAGACCTGGTCAAAAATGGTAAATCCAAGTAAAAGAATCAGATTTAAAGCACAGTATAAAATTTAAAGCACAATATAAAATATACAATGACACAGCTAAAAGTCAGATTAGAGGAATCCCAGAATATTTGAAAAGGCTAAAAATATCTGACAGACTTACATAAAAATTTGTCCAAGTAGTATATATATTAGACTGGATTTCTCTGACCCAGTTTTGGAATGGAAAATAGGAATGAAAATTTCATCTTCTATTGGTATTCATAAACACAAAATTAAACAAAAAAATCCAGTGTTTTTAGGAAATTAGTTCTAATAATAATCTATTAAAGAAGCTAATGACCTAATTAAAATAATAAATATTTATCCAATAAGATCAGAATCGATTAAATACCTATGGGGGAGGGATCTTTTAAAAAGTAGTTTATAAAGCCCCACATTAAGAAAAAGAAAACAAAGTTGACCTAAAACTTAAAACTGCCATATAGGAAAAGCTAATAAAATATTAACAAAAAATGCACACTTTCACTTTTAAAACTCTAATTCTGTAGCATTAGAACTTGTAAGAAACACAAACATCAACAAACAGAATCCTGTATCCTAAAAAGTCAGTGTAAAATCCAGAAATGCTCTTTTATTTCTTTTTACCAGAAGTATATAATGTCAAGATATATCAAATACATAACTTACGTTTTTATCAATAACTAGTGAGAGCAAACTTGGAAGTAAGGAAAATAAAGTCTGATGGCTAATATACTTTAACATTAAATTACACAATTTCCTTGACAATTGGGCATGAGAAGAATGGAAATGACTCAAAGTCAAGAAAACCATAGAAATTTTAAATTGAAAATGTTCCTCACTTCACAGACAAAGCAACTGAAGCTGGAAGAGATTTAAGTAAATTTCTCAAGATTGCTAGCTTCCAGCTAGCTTCAAGCAAAGTAGAGACCAGAAAGAGACATTCAACTGAGTTTTCTTTTATGTGCCTCAGTCTACATTAACTATAGATGATAAAATCCTAAGAGTATTATTCTCTAACACTGATACTCAGCCTTCTTTTCCAAAACCAGAATCACTACAGTGCTCAAAGATTATTATTCTAAAACAAATACTTGCTGAACACTCAATAGGCTTCAGGCACATTTTAATTTTCTAGAGAATAATGTTGGAAATGTTTCTTTACGAGTTAATCGCTGACCTTTCACCCAACCAGAGCCCATGAAAAAATCAGATTTTACATTATAAATAACTCTGTATGTGTGTATGTATTTAAACAAACCTGAAACAATGGTTTAAAGAGATAATTATGAAATATTTCAGATACCTAAAATCTCTATAAATCACCACCCTTAATTAAACACAGTCCATTCTCATTATTCGCAGTAATTGTGTTCTATAAAGTTACCACAAATACTGAGCCACTGCTCCTAGAGGAAACACAGAGTTAAGTTCCTACAAGCCTTGGTCACAAACATTTTGGCCAACTGATCAATATATAATCTTTTCATATGTATGTTTCTATATAAAGACATGTACTGAATACATATTGTTGATTCATTAACACTGACTCACAGTCAGCAATACTATAAATTCATGTCTGAACAAAGCTTGTCTTATGCTCTCCATAAGGCACATCACAACACTAGACAGCACCTCACCACTATGCCTGGAGACCATTTTAAATGGCAAATTACCAGTGAAAAGCTTTTAATGAAAAATATTTCACTAAATAAACCATAAAAAGGACACTTGTTTACAGTATGAGAGCTGAAACAAGAAGGCAGAGAGTCACTTTGTTTGACCTCAGAAAGGAATGTGCATGCCAAGTGATTTTTTTGCCACCCTGTGCACGCTCGAGTCCACAAATGACTGTGAATATTGCTTTTTGGTGTCAAAAATAAACTGTAGTGCATAAGCAAATTTGCAAATACAGATCTGCAAATAATGAGCATGAATTGTACCTACTTTATCTCAATCCTTTAGACAGAGCTGTGCTTGCAGTGCAAGATTCACACTATTTTGAGATACCAATGAGGAAGCCACAGCATTACCAATTATTGCTTCTGGATATATAACAAAGGATAAATGATCAAAGAAACTGAAATCTCTAATAGATAGTCATCACTAGATTTCTCACATAAATGAAAATCCAGATAGCCTATATTAAATAAAGTTATACTCTGTATAAAGTAATCTCTAGAAAGAAAAGGGGAGAGAGTGGCATCATTTTCCCTTTGTAATTACAGTGGGCAAAACAGGGTTCTTCTGGCAGCATCTTTCACAATAGTGTGAAGTCCAGGGAATTATGAACCTAAGGATGTCTGAAGAAAGAGATGCCTCAACAGTCAGTT